ATTTTTTTGTAACCATTTAGCTCAAAAAAAAATTCACTAAATGCCATTTTTAGTTAATGCATTCATTTGTATACTGACCTCCTAACTCGGCGCGAAGACAGCCAGTAGCATTAGCCATGTGTTTCGTAAACAGGTGACTGTAGATACGAAACAGACATACAATCAGACAGTTACTGGTGCCATCGGAACTGGAACTCTTTGCTTGCTGTTGAAGATGGGGAGGGAGCGCTTATGTCCTGATTCTTATGTCGATTCTTAATTGAAAATTCAACATTTTTATGTTCCAGTGCTCTATTCATATATAAATAACAAATATAGAAACTCTTTAATGGACGGCCAAGCATACAGAGGAGCAGATTTGGACAGTGACCACATCTATGTGTGGGGAAACTAAAGCTCAAATTAAAATAAACAGTTTTAGAACCAAGCTACATATTTTTTATTATAATGTTATTTCAGTTGACCCATTCTGAGAAAAGACAGAGAATCAACAAACAGAAGCCAAAGGTGCTGGACTGGAATCCATATATTGAAGTAATTGTATAGTACACAATGAAATGGACAGCTGGCCCTATAATGGAACTACAGGACGATAAGGATCAACCCTTTCACCCCAGGAATACTAACTAAGCAACAAAAAAAAGGTCAGGACCCTGTTAAAATTCTAGAAAAAATCCATAAATACAAACAATTTTACATAGTTTAAAATGTATTAATCAAAGAAAAATTGTTTTTAAATAAAAAAATATATATAAAATGATTAATCAATAAACACAAACAGGGTAAAGCATTAAATGGAATACATTCCCAGGGCCTGAAAAACACATGTAGTGGGTGTCTTATGCCATGAACGTTTGACCTCTATCAGTGAGGATTAAGGAAAATCTAACATCAACTTGGCTTTAAAAAAAAAGCCATTTAGCTCAAAGAAAAACTCACTAAATGCCATTTTTAGTTATTGTATTCATTCATATCCTGACCTCCTAAATATTTGCACTGGTGCAAAAACTGCTTATAGAATTAACTATGTGTTTCTCAAACAGGTCACTGAAGACTAGCAGAATAAGTAACATTTACGGGGCATTGGACCCAACCAGAAGTGTCAGACTTTAGACCTGTAGGGATGAAAGGGTTCTGGGACCTTTAGGGGCATGTGGCAATGACTGATTAGTCAGGTTAAGGTCTTTCTACAATGAAAGGGTTAAGTGTAGAATGGCTCACGCACAAACAGCATTTCACAAGATGAAATAATATTCTATGCAATCTATCTTTGTCAACTGAGGTAAGAAAGAGAGCTCATTTTTTAGAGCCAATCCTAATTTTTAAAAAAAGAAGTGAATTATGGGCAGTCAGCCAATCAGTAACAATATGCATGGAAGCTGCTGGGATGCAGTTTAATAAAAGGATGATGAGACCACAGATAGAAGCATAATGAAATTTCTTAAAATAACTCACAGAAATAACTGATTACCCACATAGGGAAACAATTCTTAGCACACGTCATGAATAGGAGAAAACTGAAGTACATGATGACAATGGGAAAGTTGGGGAGAAAAAGAGGCAGAGGAAGACCAAGAAAGAAGATGTTGGATAGTCTAGCAGCATTGCATGGAAGAACATCTGTATCAGAAATGATTGACAGATATGAGATAGAAGGCTGGGGATAGACATCACTGCCAACGCCACACAACACAGATTATTAGAAGAAGGCTTGGATTTATTGCATAGGATGTTCTTCAGTTTATATAAAAAAAAATACTTTTTAAAACCATTTTGTTAACTACCTGTGATTCATCAGCTAACTGATGTTATCTATGTGCCTAGATACTTAAATGTCTGTACATGCCTACAATAAAAGGTACTGTAGACAAAGGCCCAATCCATTGCCTTGATATTATGATTACTTCCATCTTCTGATTACTCAAGCTGAGGCCCATTTCTTTTTTTATACAACCACTGTATCCATTACTATCTGCAGTACCTTTTGACTTATTGCTATCAAGTTAGTGTCATCAGCATAATATAAGTTATTTATTCAATGAGAACCAACTCCAATCCCTCCTGAAGGATTGTTTTAAACCATAAAATTTTTTTATTTTCAAGACTTTCTTTATTTAAGCTCTCTGAATACAAAGTTACTTATTTATAAACCTTCCCATAGTGAAGCAAAATTATCAAAAAAGATTTAATATTCCAAACAAGGAATTCAAACTGCCATGGCTGAAAAGAACAGAAAATATATTCAGAGGAACCATAAGATAAAACTTAGCTCTACACTTTACTTGGGGTCATCTGTACAGATTTTTTTTTTTTAAAGTACACTTTTTTAAATCTGCTTATGTAATAAAGAGATGGAGAACATTGTATTAAATAAACAAGCAGACAAGTGCTGATCAGCACTCATAGAAAGAAGTCGAAAAATTGGACACACTAAATTCCCCCCCCCCCCCCCAAATGAAATTGAAAGCTACAGTTACCGACAGCTTTCGAATGTGCATGTTGTCTAGATTATCCTTCTATCTTTCTACTTCTTTCTATGAGTGCTAATCAACACATAACTACTTGTTTATTAAATATAATGTTACTTTCAAAACTGTTTTCAAATCTGAAGATTTAATTTCAAAACTGATAAATATGCATGCATGGACAGGAAAAGAATTGTAAAACCAAAGCATGAATGAAGCAAAGAGAATGTTTAGTCAAAATACATCCATGCTGGATTTAGGCACAAGCTAACTAAGATACGACATAAGCACCTAAAAAGATTTCATTTTTTTCGCTGACAAATGCAATTTTCTTTTTATATATTTAAAATCATAATCCCCCAAAATTTTAAAGCTCTATTAATATTTGTTTGAGTAAATTATCTCTGGGTTTTATTTATTCTAACCTGTAGCTAATTTAAATTGAATAAAATAATCAGCTTGCTATGCATCAACTTCCAACTTCAATTAACTTATTTAATTCACATTTTTCTGAGATTAATTGGTAAAATTTAAAACAATATCGGGCCTCATCGAGTCTACGTCTGGCCCTGAGCTGAATACTCTGCTTTGTTACAGCAGTATCTTTCAACTAAATACAAAAAGATCTAATTTAGGAAACATCACTGAAGAATAGTAACTTTTGATTAAAAGAAATATATTAAAAAGTGCATAACATATTTAAAATGACATTATATTTGAAACTGTATAAATAAAAATGCATAATTTCAAATAACTTCGTAGCATAGTAATTTCAGTCAGAGTTGAGATACTCTGTACTTCACCCAGGGCACTAATACTCTGTGCTGGTTTTACAGATCCTCATACAAGATAGCCCCACATTGTTGTGCGCTATGGATAATGGCTTACATCGGAATAAATCAAGCTGGCAGGAGATCTCAGAGTTGGTGGCCTCGAAGATGTAGTCTCTATAAATCCTCTGGCATTAATCAGCCCACCCCCCTCAGTCCGACCGTAAAATGTCCTATTCTGTGATAGACAAGGTTCAGATGTCTGACTATAAATTGTCCTACTGTGTGATAGAAAGGTTCAAATGTCTGCTACCACTGGCCCCACTGTTCATAATGTCAGGACCATAAGGAAAAGCCAAGCCTGATGCATGCTTTTCCTCTAATTCATGCTTCGTGTCCTAATGCAGCTACGTTAAAAGTGTCTAATGTGCTTAGGAAGATTTTGCCCATCTGTGTAGTCATCAAAGTACTGGATCTGCGAGCTGCTTCCTAAAGACATCAAAAGCTGCAGCCCGTGATGAGTGGGAAGCTTAACATAAGGATGTGAGGTTAAGCAGCCATATGCAGGACCTGACAATTCCTTGGGTGAGCCCAGGATCACTGTGTCATGTTTTGGCTCTGCCTTTTTTAGAAGCCTTAGTGAATGGCAGGGAGTGCCCATGTTCTGTCCCTGTCTTCTCCTAGTCTGTGTGTGACTGTCTTGGATGGATTCTCTAGGGGCAATATGTGTAGAGAAAAGGGATAAAGAAGACACCACACAAATAAGACAAGGTCATGTGCCACAAAATAGTGGCTACAGTCATCCAAGAGACAGGATCGGCATCTTACTTGGAAGTCCGGGTTCAGATGCTCGAGAGGCAAGGAACAAAATACTGCACATAAATAAGCCAGGATGACCATTTATTAACCCTCACATAATGCTTCTGGTCAAAATGGACGCTAGGCATGGCCACTTTTTTTTTAGCCATGGCAAATTTTTTTGCTTCTGCCAGACGGTGGCCATTGCATTTTTGCTCCATTTGTAGACTGGATTGATATAGTTTCGTTGCCCAGCTTCTGAGCTGAGTGCATCGTGTGACACTGGGTGCTGCAGATTTCATTTGGAATGTTTTTGGACAGTGACTAACCTGGTGGTGTGAATTGTAGATTCTGAAAATGGCGCGATGCCGGTTGTCAATATTGGTGGTGCCATTATATGATTAAAATTGATCGCGTGTGCAACTGCTGATCTGTTGGTGACTTCTGCTAGTCACTAGTGCTACCATCCATGATGAACTGCAATTCTAATGTCTGACTGTTTGTGTTAGCACTTCGGGTGGCTACAGTATGCTTTTAATGCATGTGTATGCTAACCCATTTGCTGAGACAGCAGTCTGTCAATCTTTCCACAAGGGACTGTGATAAACATTTTGTGCGGTTTTTGTTGGCACAGGAGTGGAGCAATTATGGGGTGACCTGTTTGCTTTGAAGCTGAAACTCAAGATTACAAGATTACCAGATTACCAAGCCAGTAAAACAGATGTACACACAAAACTCAGGTTCTGGCATGAACAACCAGGCCATCAGAGTTCACAGCCAGTGAATGCAAACCAAAAAATTATTATTTGTTTTTGTAACATTTAAATTCTGTTTATTTAACAGATTTTAACTGGAAGACATGAATTCTGATTAAAAAATATAAGGATTTTACTTAACTATAATATCATATTATGGTATAACAAATTGTAAAAACTTGAAAACTCTCAGAACCAATGTACAGAAAATGTTACGATGGCACAAGTCTTAACAATGGGTTCCATGATGATGCTATTGATATAACAGATGATATGCTTCCAACTAAACCTTGGAGACCAGGTGAAACTTTGACATGGCCTAATGTTTCAAGTGGAAGAACCAAATCACTAAGATTCTTTATGAAGTCCAAAAAAACTGGCTGGTTTTCTAGAATGCATTTTTTCATAATCTGTGTATTTGTAAGAATTGGCTTGGTAAGTTGTCTATGTTCCGATGCACCATTCTTGTAATGACTTCGTGATAGTTTTGCTGCTTGCAGTTTATATTCTTGCATAAAAATCTTAACAATTTCATAAATATCACGAACCAAATTAAGTATTAAAGTGACAATCCAAAAGCGTGCTGACAGTGTAACCCATTTATCCTTGTCAATTGAAGCCAATCCTATTCTTCCTGCCAAAATAATGTGATCAAAAAACAGATAAACCGACTGATTCAGTTTTGACAAAGTAATGCACCAGCGAAGAGCAGAATCCGTTAAATGTAAACTGCAAAGGGCTCCATGAAGGAAATCTATACTCTTTCCCAGTCGTAAAACTAGAGAATCAAATATAAAAATAAGTTAGACTTAGTCTAATCATTTATTCTGTTATCAGTAATGTCAAACAATTATCATGGAAAGTAATGGCAAGATATGGAGTAAGCGAACACCTCATCGAAGTGTACAAAAGTTTATACAGGGATTGTAGAAGTGTAGTTAGAATAAATCAGGGAATATCTCATCCATTCACAGATACATCTGGAGAAAGACAGGGGTAATCCTTATCACCACTGCTGTTTATCACCAACATCGACAGTATATGCAAGAATGCCAAGCCTATGAATGAAAATGTTGGTAAGATCAACGAATTACTCTTTGCAGATGACCAGGCCTTGATAGCAGATACAGCCATGAAACTGCAACAACATCTAACATCCATGAATGAAGAATGTAAAACAAATAATATGAGAATCAACACTGAAAAGACAGAAGTAATGTCAATAGGAAAAAAAGAAGACAGATCTAAACATAGCAATAGAGAACAAAGGCATTAAACAGGCATCTGAGTTTAAATATCTGGGAACTACATTTACCGAAGATGGGAAATTGGATAAAGAAATTAACATTAGATGCAGTAAAGCAAACCAAGTATTGGGACAGCATAAGACAATCCCAATCAGCACAAAGAGGCATCTTATTCAAAGCATATTTATTCCAACTCTGTGCTACCAATGCCAGACATGGTCACTCACAACAAACCATTAAAGAAAATTAGTAACCATGGAAAAGAAGGGCTGTAGGAGTGACCATAAGAGATAAGATCAGGAATGAGATCATAAGAGAAAAAGTCGGCACAGAACCAATTCTAAATTACATACAAAGACAGCAAGTGAAATGGTTTGCCCACTTAGAGAGAATGCCTTGTGACACCATACCATACAAAACATACATGGAAAGAGAAGAAGGTCATAGAGCAAGAGGTAGACCAAGAACAAGATGGAAGGATAACATCAGAGAAGCTCAACAACAGCACGATGTGCCTATGGTCGAGGCGGCCAGAAGAGCCAGAAACAGAACCTTATATCTCCCTCGACACCCACAGCGGTAAAAGAGGAAGTGAAGAAGAAGAAGAAGAAGAAGAAGTAATGTCAAAGACTTTTTTGTAAAATAATTCTCAATAAAATTAAATGGGTACAGACAAAATCCTGAGAGAGGAACTAAGCTGCTTAGATCAAATATTCACTCTGAGACTTATTCTTGAGGAAATTCATTGAAAAACAACCACCTCTTATTTTGAATTTCATTGTCTTTAAGAAGGCTTTTGACAGATTACACAGAACTTCATTGTGGAGAATTTTGTAATGCTATGATATACCAATAAAAATAAAAATAAACAATTACGTCAATTTATGAAGATTAAGAGTGTGCAATGACAACAGACAAATGTTGAAGTGATTGGTTTGAAGCTGATATCAGAGTGAAACAGATTCATTTTATATTGTTTGTTATTTGGTATAACCACTGACTGGGTGATGAAATAATGTTGTACTGGAAACACCATCGTTGACTGGGTGGAGAACACATAGTTGGAAGATCTTGATTTTGCTGATGATATTGTTCTATTAGGTAAAAACAGCAATGGCATGCAGAGGAAACAGATGATTTAGCAAATATAGCAGCAAGGGTTCAACTACAAATATGTTATTAAAAGACAAATATACTGAAGACACCAACAACAGGTCAAGCACACTAGAGACGAAAGTAAATAATTCATTACAATTATTTCCCTATGTTTCTATAGTTCATTCAACAATTCATAAACACACTTGAAAGCCATTTTTTCAGGAAATGCCTGTTAGATCACAATGATTTTTTTGGTATGCAGCCTTAGAAGATGGAAGACACACAAAAAGTGGCATTCCTTAGTCCATACATGCTCAGACTGGTAAATATCGGCCAATTTCTTTGACATTTTTAAACCATTGTAAATAAGAAGTGTGAACTTTAAGATTTTACAATAAACATCTGAATTTCCTGATTATAATTTTCTTTTTTCAGAGGTGTGTCTTCATAACACATTTATAAGTGAACTAAATTTATTTGTTGTCATTTATGTTCAATTAAGCTGAGTTGGACTGAGTCAAAAACATCACAGCACTTGGGGCATTCCCATATGCCCTCTGTCCTATCTTCAGCAGCCAGTGCAGAGTTCCAATACTAATGGTACCAGACTGTCTGATTATATGTCCATCTTGCCTTTCCTCTGAGTGTAGTTTGCCGGCCAAGAAATTTTGTCACACCCAGGTGTATCATTCTCTCCAGGCCGTGACAATATGTTCTCTTCTGACTTCGTTACTTGTTTCCAAAGAGCCTTGTCCACATCTGCTTTGTCATGTATCAATTCATCATGCAGTGGTGCAGATCCACTCAATCTGTCTGCCTCGTTCAATTGTAAACATGTCCCCAATATGCAACAGTTAGTATTCCCCTACGGTCGCCATTAGACCCCAGGGCAATTCTTAACCGCACAACACAATGGTTGACACGTTTGGATATGGAGATGTATTTGCTGCAACTGTAGATATACCTAAAGGGTTGATGATATTCAACAACTCATCTAAAAATGGTTTTAATCATTCAAAATCTAAAGATCGCAAAAGGTTGATAATCATTACTGTTTGAACAAATTATAATCCATCTCGGTGTCAGTACTAATCTTTCTTTTGGAGCACATGTTCAACACACTTTTTCCAGAAATGAATATCTGTTTTTCAGACGGACTCGTATCAGAACTTCAGCATCACATATTTTTAATGTACTGCACTTTTTGCCAACGTGTCTTTTGACTTTAGCCCAAAAAAACTCTATCTGCGGGTTGAGGTGTGAGTGATATGCAGGGAGTTGCATTAATGATTCTGTCAGTGTGATACACTTTTGTCTTAACTGTTTTTCCCACCAGCTGCAACAACTGTGCTTTTAAATATGTGTCGTCAAAATTGACTTTCTCCACAGCAAGCCATGTCCTAATTTTGGTTTTTTTTAATTTGAGGATGTGTTTACTTTGTCTTTCTCTGATACGGCAGGGTAGACTGCATTACCCATTACTAGGCATGATAGTCTGTCCAGAATTGGAAAAAGATCATTATCCATATAATGTCTGAAAATATGTCTATTCATTTCAGTGTTGAAGGCCTTCATCCGTGCTTTTTTATTGGAAAATAGGTCCAGCATCATGGATAAGGCCTTTTTCACTGCTTCCTGCAAAAGTGAGTACAATGCGCTGGCCTTTGCTGCTTGGAATGTTTCTTTTCTGTTCACCATGTACTGATTGCCATTCTGTAGCACAGGTATGGTGATTCATCCAAATATACAATATCCTAGCCTTGCCTCCGTCGCTCACGGATCTGTCCAAGGTTTTTGCTTCGACGAGCAATCAAATGTGGCTTTTCACAAATAATATTCTTTCCACCTAGTTTTCCTGAATTTGAACCCGGTGGCTCTTGCAAATTTCCACAGACTACTTTTTGAAATGTCAATACTGAATTGTGATTTCAATGTTAATTTCAGTTTTTGGAGAGTAATAAGCTGATGTGTCTCTAACATTTTTAAGATCCCACATTTAATGACATCTAAATCAAAGTCGTCAACTTTCCTTTTCATTCCTTGCTTGACATAAGTGTATGTGTCCTGTCTAATCCAATGGATGCTATATCCAAAACCAAGTGCCAACAGTGTTTGTTTATTCTGGGTCATGAATATTACAATACAAATGACTTATCTTAGATTCCCTGAGGAAGTGCTGGTAAAGTAAAACGGTAACCTTTTGCATAGTTATAAAACTGCATTTCAAATTCATTTTGAAACTAATGTCTATGTCAGCTTTTATAAGCTAGCTATATGACACAATAACTCAACACTAATTTGCGCATGCGCTTTGACTAAACAACCTTGATCAACGGCTTATTTTAGCCTAACTGTACGACTTTGCAAGAAAAAATCAATTGCTCGCATGTGTGTTTATAAACTATTGAACGAACTATAATTTTACAATTACTTTAAATAAATTTTAATGTTATGAAGTCTGAAAAAATCCATCATCAGCAACTGCGTGCCATATTCTAAATGTTGGGCACATTGTAAACAAGGATGATGCATTTCAAATTATTTACAGTTCAGCCAACCGTAGATTACTGAGATTTGCAGAAGCATCACATATCAGCCGCTTTAGCCCAGAATTATGCAGACAAAAGGACATGCACTGCGGTTCATCATCATCATCATCAGGTGCCTTGCCGACTGGCGTGGGTGATCATGCCTCTCCATAATCCGCGATCTCCTGCAGCATGTATCAGTTCGTGTGCCGACACACCTCCATGCCATGCAACAAGACTGTCAAGCATCTTCTCTCGTTGTCTTCCTCTATCCCTCCTTCCACAGATCTTTCCAGTGGTCACAACATGTTCTATTTTCCCTCTTCTCATAACATGCCGAAAAATGATGACTGTCTCCTTCTGATGTCAGTGATAAGTTGTCTTCGGGCTCCCGCCTCTCTTTAAAACCTCTTGGTTGCTCTTTTTGTCTGTCCAAGGTATTCTAAGCATAAGATTCTTCTGTAAAACCACATCTCTGAGGCCTCTAAAATTGTTTGGCCTGCCTACTGATTGTCCAGGATTCACATCCATATGTTAAAACTGGATGTATGTAGCAAGCAAGAATTCTTTTTTCTAACTCTCAATGACAAGGATATATTGCACAAGATGTTTTTCATTTTATAAAATGCAGTTTTTTGCCTGTCCAATTCTGTTTCTTATTTCAGTTATGCATCTTCCATCTGATGTTTATCCATGTGCCCAGATACTTAAATTTCTGTACTTGTCTTAAAATAACACCATTGACTTTTATTACACATTTAGGAATAATTTGTTTCTTTGATACCACCATTACTTCTGTCTTCCCATTATTCAAACTGAGGCCCATTCTTCCACTTTCTAACACCACAATGTCTATCATTTCCTGTAATTCTTTCTGACTTGTTGCTATCAAGACTGTGTCATCAGCATAACGTAAATTGTTTATATTGTGCCCACCAACCACGATTCCGGGCATATCAATTAAAGATCTCATAATATATTCACTGCGGTTACCCTGGTGAAAAAGACAAGTTTGTGAATGCAGTAGATTTTGTGTTTCAGTTCCAAGGGTTCATTTATTTACTTCAATACAATACATTGTTTGTGTCTTCTTTGTCCAAAACCATAAATTGATTTGAGAGATTGGCAGACACATGATGATTACAAAATTAATCAAAAAAGAGATACTGAAAAACAGTGAGAGAAAATTCTTGAATCTTTGGTGACATGAAAAGAAGTCAGGATATAAAATCATGTATTATGCTGTACATGATCTGTACAAGAATTTTACTTACACTTCCTGGTTGTGCTCAAAGCGCTGCTAAGTCGCTGAAGTTTAATGACTGCTTCTGGAGCCACACCATATTTGTGTAAATACCATGCACTGAACTTGCTCACATACTGTGACAATCTATGAAAACATAAGAAAAATGTTGTACCAAGAACAGGTAGGCAAATATTTAAAAAATAGTCCCTGCAATGCTTATCCACAGTCAGCCAGAAAGTCCTTACCTTGAACAATATAGTGATTAATGAGGTTAATCATCACAGCACTTAAGGCATGTTCACAGGTGTTCTATTTCCTGCTAAATACTTCAACAAGTGTAAAATGGCTCAAGATGCATGTTTTGTGTTAATTACTCAAAAACTTTGATGAAGTGGTAATTTCTTACCACTCCAGGTTTCATCCTCATGTCAGTCAACCTGGACATGGATATGTAGCCATGTCCTTTGTCATCTTCGTCTATGTGGTTAGTGCTGTGCATGTTGCTGATAACATTGCTTTTTTCCAGTCCCGGGCCAGTCATAGAAACTCCAGAGTTTGCCAGATAATCTACACGTTCACTGCTGTGAACATTAACATAATCCGACAAAAAGATTAAAGTTAGGCCAGCTATTTGTAAAATGCTTAGTGATACAAGTCATTCCTGCATGACGAGCTCAACCTCCATTTTCATGAGCATATTCACCGAATCACTCAGTATGCGCACACATGTGAACTCTTGAGTATCCAGCGATGCTAATGCTATTTTTACAGTGTTTCCATTGTGAGCCGCTTGTTATAACAGCAAATCAATACTACAGGGCTTTGTAGAGGGGAAGAGGAGAAGAGGCTGACCAAAAAAGACCTGGATACAGAACTTTTACTGGACAGGTCCTAGGCATGCATTCATGAAGTGCAAAGCATTTGGCTGTCATAGGTGAAGAGAGCTGATCTGACAGTCAACAGCATGGGATGATGATATGATATGATATCTGGGTTGATGCTAAAACCTGTTTCTTTACACCACTCACCTACCTTTTCTACCATGGCCTGCAGTTTTATAGAACTTTTCATTCTATTTCTCTTCTCTGTGTAGACTAAAATATCATCAGCAAAAATCAAGATTCTCTTTATACCCACTGCCTCAAATGCCACTGTCCTGCTTGTATACAAATTGAAAAGCACTGGGAAAATGGTAGATCCTTGTGGAAGGCCAGGTACATTACTACAGGATTCAGAGCTCCACAAGCCTAGGCAAAAATCAGTCTGTTATTCTTACTTGACAGCTGCAATCCAGTTGATGATCCAGGTAATGACTTCAAAATCCATAAGTGTGTACAGTCAAATGTCATACCTAATCTTGTTATATACTTCTTCTAAATCAAGTGCTGACACCATTGTTTCACGCTGAAACCCCTCATAATACATCATAAGCCAGGATTGCAGCATCTGCCCAAAAATCTGTGCTTGGTCAGCAGCTTCCTAATCCTCTTAGTAAAAGTCTATATTTGTCTAAGTAATCCGGTAATTTGCTTGCCCCATCTTTTCCAGAATCCTATCAAATGTAATTTATGAAATAATCATTCTATAACCATTAAATTTGGTATGATCTTTACTTGGCTTCAGGTGTGGTATGAGGTAACTATGCAGCCACTCCACTGGAACCAACCAATGCTGAAATTGAAACAGGATACCATTTCCCTTAGTTCTTTATCACCTAAACCTTTCATATGACTATATCAAACAGTGGCGCGGTGATTTATGTCACAGGCGTGAGGGAAAGTTAAGTCCAACATGATGTGTATAAGGAGATACTCCGTACGTCACTCGGGCGCCAGTCCTTCACTATCCTGGTTGTACGGAACCTCGCGCAAGACCGTCGTGCGCCACGGATAATGTCTCAAATGAGCATTAAGAGAGCTGTCAGGGGATCTCGGAGTTTGGCGGCCCCCAGAGGTGATGTGTCCTTGTGGCTCTCATCAGCCCGCCCCCAAACGCTTGAGTGAAAAAAGGTTATCAAAACTCATTAGGAACATGAGTATGTTTGCCAAACGTACAGCTAAAATTACAACCCTTGGTTAAAAGATTGCGAAGTGAAGAGAACAACATTGTTCACTGTACATCCTCTGTTAACCCTCAGTGTCTTCGTCACCGCGCTGAGGTACACCACAACAGCAACCATCCATAGGCTTGCCATCCATGTACATCCTTGGTTAATCCTCTGTGTCGTCGTCACCGCGCTGAGGTACGCCCAGACAGCAACCATCCATCGAATGGCTAAGCCTAAATGTCCGACAAAACTAGATCCTACGGAGCACGAGCAAGCTCAAAATCTGACCATCACAATTTGTATTGAACGGAAAAAGACCAAATGTCCACACCCAAAGACCCCATTCGCCCGAGTGTTGGGACCAAACTGATAACGATATGCCTGATGCAGGATGTAAAATTCTGTCGGGCTAATGGCTCGTCAAAGAAATCTAACGTGCGAAGAAAAAAAGAATGTGCCTATTCGTGTGGTCACAAAAGTCCAAAACCCACGGGCTGCTCCCCGCTGACTTCCAGAGGGCGCAGCCCTTGTCGAGCGGGAGGCCTAATACGGTTGTGAGGTTAAGCAGCTATGTGCAGGACGTGACGATTCCTTGGGTGAGCCCAGAACCAGAGCGCCATGTGCCGGCTCTGCATACATGGAAGCCTCCTTGGATGGGGGGGAATGCCCATGATCTGCCTTTGCCTTCCCTTGAGGGCTAACCGTTCCACAGGGGGCTGCCCCAAAGGGGTACTCCGGGGGCAATACCTGCGGAGAAGGAGACAAAGTGGACACCACACAAATCAGGCAACGTCTCGACCCACACAAAACAATGGCCACAGTCATCCTAGAAATAGGCCTGACGTTTTCCTTCGAAGTCGGAGTACAGCTGCCCATGAGGCAGGGAACAGTAAAACGGTTGTACACGCAAAAATCAGGTCCAGGTGAAAGCCAAAAGTCCAAGCGGACGATTAACCGGGTCCTTCCGCCGGAATTCACAGCCGGTGATCGATAAAAAAAAAAAAAAAATTATATCAAAATTATATCTGGCCCAGGTGCGTTATTTTGTTTTGTTTTCTTCAGCATTTGCTTTAGATTGTGTTACTTGCATTTGTATGATATTCTCATTAATATTATTTCTTATTGTTCTAGCAAGATCACTAACAACCACCCTTCTGATCATTCTGTCATTCTTGCATGTCTGCTTTATAAATCTCGGCTATCCTCCAAATAACGGTCGTAAATTATCGAGGCGGAAAATATACCCTAACAGGGCCTCAGTCACGTGTCAATTGCGCACTTCTGCCACCGTCGAATTGCAAACTTTCGCCATCGCCGAAAGTGTCCCCTAACGCCGCTCACGCGGCGTGGAATGTGGCTAAACTAGATGGCTAGGACTCACAAACAGCAGCTACCGCATCTCCTGCAGCTTCCTTCATTTTATTTGCTCATTAGTCCTAGCCTAGTTTAGCCCCAATCCATGCTGCCCGAGCGGCGCATGGGACACTCGGTGGCAGAAGTTGCTGAAAGTTCGCAATTCGGCGGTGACGTTATAGTCCCCAGAAGTGCGCAAGTGACACATGACTGAGGCCCTGTTAGAGTATATTTTCCGCCTCGATAATTTACAACCGTTATTCGGAGGATAGCCTGAATCTCTTCAGTTATCAAGACCTGGTCATTTTCACATTATACTGTACCAACTAAGGTGGGCTGCTCTTTATAGCTCATCTACCTATGCTGTTTTTCGGCTATCCTCCGAACAACGGTCCCAAATTATCGAGGCCGAAAATATACACTAACAGGGCCTCAGTCACATGTAAATTATGGACCTCTTTCCGGCGACTATACCGCCACCGCCGAAAGTATCTCCCATGCCCGTTGGTAGCGATGCGGAGTGGAGCTTAAACTAGATGGCTGGGACTCACAAGCAAATAAAATGTGGAAGTTGCCGGAAATGTGGAAGTTGCAGGAGATGCGGTAGCTGCTGGTCATGAGTCCCAGCCATCTAGTTTAGCCACCTGTAACGGCCCGGGAGATACTCTCGGCGGTGACTTTAACTCGGCGGAAGTTTTTCGGTGATATGCTGTGTAGTAGCAGGAAAGAGGTCCGCAATTTACATGTGACTGAGGCTCTGTTAGGGTATATTTTCGGCCTGGATAATTTGGGACCGTTATTCGGAGGATGCCCAGTTTTCAGAACTTACTCATTGTTGCTGTCTCCCCTAGTATCATTTAAGAAGAGAAACCACAAGAAGGAGAACATAGACAAGCCAAAGGTGCTGGACTGGATTCCATTCATGACTGATGCTGAAGTGATTGCCCAGGATAGGTAGGAATGGAGAAATAGTAAATAGACTGTGAGCTCTGTGTGACACATAATGAATACTGGTACACAGCAAACCACAATGAATGAATAATTGAATAACATGTTTCAATTGTTTCTCATCAACTTATTATGACTTATTCTCACCTGAACAATTTATCTCGGCCACTTGCGAGTGAATTAAACTTCAAGAAAGTGTCTAAAAAATCTGAATCCATTTGGACGAATATTTTCAGTGCTTGTTGTCTTCCAAGTAATGCAGAAATACAGTTGCAGTTTTAAGCTGAGCCACTTCGATCACAGAGGCTTCTCTGAGCTCAAAGTTCACGGTACAGTTAGTAACTGAGATACAATCTATTTTTACAATGACTTCTCCCGATTGAAAGAAACGTTAACAATACTGTTTGTATATCCCTAATACTTTCACTGTATTTCATTTTAGTTTATTACGTAAGTAAGGTTCATGTTTATATATATATATTTTTTTTTAAAGTTGTAAAACTCTTGCATTGTTCATTTAATGTGTAATGTGTTATTTAACATACTGCTGTCTTTACAGACACTGTGTGTGGCCATATTATTTATTATTTATACGGAGAAAAATTGCAAGGGGAAAAAGGGACGTAATACCTTTACATCTTGAATCTACGAAATTGAATTCAATGCTTCTGGGAAAACAAGACGCAAGAAAATCGTCGGTAAATATTATTATGATTATTTCACGATTCGTTAATTTTGTTGCGTTGTACATTTTACAGCATATTACAAAAGTGTAAAGACGAGAGCACTTAAAAACTAAAAAAACATTGAGGATAAGGACTGTGATGAATTGATTGACTTTGGCATCGGCATCGCAAGCTAAGTTTTAATTACTAATTAGTTTGCTTACGCGAAAACAGTAACTATTTATTGTCGTTTCCCCATGTGGGGCGCAATTTTTCGTTATTCTGAAGCCCTAAAATTGCTTTTGCCTAGAGCAATAATATAACCCAACGGTTCAAGGGGGTAAAACTTACTTTAAAGCAACAGTAACTTCAGATACACTAGTAAGTAATACGTTTTCAGTATGTTAGTAAGTATGTTTATTCAATTCAGATCATGTGTCCAAATACTTTACTTTACTTACTTTATATGCTGCAACTCTGTTGTTTATGACCAAACATCTTAGCAACCATGTATCACTGTGTTTACTGTTTGTAGCAACAACATTCAATATTTCAGATATTTATTTTTGAAATTTCTTGGTCATATAATTATATAAGCACACTAATGACCTTATGCTTATGTAATGGCTAATGGCAGTCCTTTAATGTCCAATAACTGATAGTCTGGTAGTCTTAGTTTCAGCTTCATAGCAAACGGGCCACGGCCACTCCATCTTTGCTCCGCTCCTGTGCCAATGAAAAACACACTGAATGTTTATCACAGTCCCTTGTGGAAAGCTTGACAGACTGTTGTCTCAGCATATCTAGCATACACACGCATTAATGCATACGGTAGCCATCCGAAGTGCTAACACAAACAGTCTGACATTAGAAATGCAGTTCATCATTGCAGAAGTCACCAACATGTCAGCAGTTGCCCACGCGATCAAATTTATCACAATACGGCACCACCAACATTGCGACTACAGGCATCGCGCCATTTTCTGAATCTACAATTCACACCACCACATTGGTCACAGTCTAAAAAAACATTCCAAATGAAATCTGCAGCTCACAGTGTCATGCCATGCATTTAGCTCAGAAGCTGGGCGACAAAACCATATCCAGTCTACAAATGGATCAAAAATGCATCGACCACCGTCCGGCAGAAGCAAAAAGTTTGCCTCGGCTCCAAACAGTGCCCTGCCTAGAGTCCATTTTGACAGGAATAATAGAGCCAACAATGTAACATGTTGGGGAAAAAAAACATACACAGCGCACACTTCAAACACCATAGAAACCATACACTTTTGTGGTTGCTGGATGGAGTCACAGTGCTGCTTTATCATTTAATTATCAAACAAATTGATGCCAGTTAATTTTAGTCATTAATCTTTGATATAGTATCATAATGAATAAGCGAGCAAATCAGATGGAGTATATTTTCATTTGTGATGGTTGACTGAAGGGACCTAACGGTTGCAGGTTTGTCATAGTGGAAGATTAATTAAGGCTTGCTGAAATCAGATGTGCTTGACTGAAAGGCATATTTATCACAGCCTAATCATAGCCACAACACATTGTGTCAATATCCTTTAAAGGGGGAGAAAATTGCAGAGCAGAAGAAATGCAAAAAAAGTATACATTCTCTCCAATATATTGACTGATTGGACAGTTCCTAGGCATGCAATCATGAAGTCAATCGCATCTAGCCCTTAGAGTTGGAGGAAGCTGATCAGAGTCAACAGCAACTGGTGTTTCCATTTATGCTTCTGTATTTATATGCAGTTGTATTCAATGCACATACACGCATACACACACACACACACACACACACACACACTATGGTGTAATGGATGGACTCTCACCTGCAGATCCAAATGTCATGGGTTCAAGTCTTGACAGAGCTTGACTTTAAAAGAAAAAAAAAATTACCTTAGCTTTTAGGTGGACCCAGCTCTAAATGGGTACCAGGTAATGTCCTGGGAAGTAAAAAGTATCTGGTCTGATGTTGACCATATTACCCACCGAGTGCCGATTGGTCTATAAAATGTAAGCATACCCAGTATGCCTGAAGCGTGGACAAGTGTCCTTTACTTTTTTTTTTTAACTTCACTAGCAGCTGAGGTAAGCATAAATGTGATCTCATCCTGACATCTGTTGTTGAAATAAAGTAAGCATAAATGTGATCTCATCCTGACATCTGTTGTTGAAATAAAGTAAGCATAAATGTGATCTCATCCTGACATCTGTTGTTGAAATAAAGTAAGCATAAATGTGATCTCATCCTGACATTTGTTGTTGAAATAAAGTAAGCATAAATGTGATCTCATCCTGACATTTGTTGTTGAAATAAAGTAAAGCTATGAAATTAACACTTTAGAAAAGTCAACCAAAATGAGAGGTAGAGCTAGTTAGCTGACTTGGTTTGAAGTTTTAAAGTGTTATTTAGCTTTATTCTTCTGTTATTTATAGAATTTATAAATTAATTTTTCTCTTAGTATTGACAATGTATAATTAAGAATCGACATCACAGCACTCAGGACACTCCCTTAAGTGCTCAGTCCCCATCTTTAGCAGCAAGCGAAGAGTTCCAATTCCGATGGCACCAGTAACTGTATGAATGTATATCTGTCTCATCCTTTTCTTGAGTGTTGAGCGTCGGCCAGATCCCCTGGTAACTTCTCGCAGCGCCATTCTCCTTAGACCATAATGATCTATCTGCACCTCCGCACTTTTCACTCGCTCCCAAAGGGCGCTCACAATATCTAACTTGTCATACATCAATTTACCACCAGTAGTGCAGAGTCAGCCAGTCTATCTGCCTGCCCATTTCCCAACACACCGACATGACCTGGAAAAAATATCCAAAAGATACTAACTACCCGGGAACACTGAATTGATGCTTGCCTTGCACTCTGCATGATGCATGCTTGTTTTCACCTTTCTCAACATTCTTAGTATTGTCATAGAGGCATGAATAAGGTACCTTTGGATTTCATTTTCCAAGTGGAATGCAACTATGCTAGTTTAATTAAAAATAATTTAGAAAATTTGACTCAAATGCCGGAGGATTACCCAAAAGTGCTCCAGTCTTCTTCTTAGCATGCTTTATTTAGTGTTTTTTACAATGATGACTCATATTCTGTACTGTTGATATAGCCACTATGAGTTGTATGGTTTTCACGCCATGCTGCTCGAATTGGTATGGTATATCTAGACATCACATTCGGGTCAGAGAGAATTAAAAATCATCCTCATATTTGAGGTATTCATGCATTGTCTCTGGTATATTTTTGTATAAGCTCTAATTATAACTTATAGGAGTTGCATTTGGGATTTATCCTGTTGGTCTGCTATCCAGATTGAGATTTTGTAAACTCTGGGTGTCAGACCTTACGGTAGCAGACTAGAGGGGAAAAGCAGATTGAGGTTGATTTTTGGACTGCAGCAACATGCTCACTGCCTAGGTATATACCCAAGGATTCACCAGTTTGTATTTTTTTAACACATTTTCTATTATTACTAAAGGAATGGCTTGTTTTTTGCTAGTACTCCACATCAACCACTGGATAAAAAACATCTCCTAAAAAAAAATCTACATAGTGAATCTCATATATCAAAACGTGCCAGACACAGTTAAATATGTAGGGCTTCTAAAATAAGTATGCCAGTTACTGACCACCTTACTGCACAAGTTGACACCATTTCTTTATTCTGAAAATGGTAATAAAAACTCAGTGGTAGACCTTATTGTGTATTGACAAATTGAGAATTTAATCAAACTAATTATGTTACTTAAATTAATATTTATTAGGTTACTGAGGATTCATTTACTTAATCAGTTCATTACTCTGTTTAGCAGAAAACTTCAACGGAACAGAATGTCTTACCCTGGTTATGGAAGTGGTAATTTTACACCATCTTCAGGCTATGCAGCTATGCAGGGTGCAAGTAGCAGTAAAACATTTGTACCTGGCAAAACATTGAACTTTCATACAGGAAATGTTGGTAAAAGAAGAGCTATGACTGAAGAAGAGTATGTATTTGTCTTGCATATGCGTTTTTACTCTTAATGTTCTGATAAGGAAAAATATTTATTTGATTAATTTAATTTATCTTCTAGTCCTTGACTGTCGTGAAGCATTGTAGAAAATGAGGGGAAGGTGTATGTGTGTGTGGAAGGAAGGGGATCCCTTTTTGTTCCTTGTATATTGCTATAACTAGCAAAATCCCTTGCCATTTTAGAATTTCTTTGATGCTGTCCAACCTTCTGCATGCAGATCTTCCCAGTGAATGTTTAAAAACCATATATTTTACTGTTTTATGTAAATAAGCAGTTGATCAGGTTTTCATTCATATAAAATGAATTAACCATGGCATGATAATTTTAGTCACAGACAAGAGGGAACATACTCAAGTGATTTGTGCCCTCTATAAAAGGGTATCCTGTAACCAACCTCGGGGGGTACCTCTATGCTGGTTTTATGAGTCCTCATGCAAGACTACTGCAACACGCTGTCATAGTATGCCATGTACAATGGCACACATCTGCCTAAATCAAGTTGTGAGGG